AGGCTTTTGCCTTCCTTCACAGACTCCTTGGTTTGTCTTTTCAAACCAAGACAAAGACAAAGGCACCAGTCAAGAAGTGTAATCTTCGTAGTCTGTAGAACCTATTAAAGTGTGTGTAATGTAAACAATAAACTGCTTCTGCTCGATCATATTCGTCAGTTGTTTAGGAGTCCTGGTTTACCCACAATAATTGCTGCCAGGTCTTTGCCCAAGGAAGATGCTTCTAATGTCCAGATGTCACTGCTGCTCATCCTTCATGGCACCAGTGAGCTCTTACCAGGATATCCAGGCAGGCTTTATTTTTTTCCCAGTAAGCCACAATAGACATTCCATACAGCATCCAGTGAAACACCTCACTAGCCACTAGAAACAGCAGATATTTAACTAACTTTAGCCAGAGGTCTGAGCACACCCACAAGTACAACTAAGCTGCACCAGAAGTTCAGAGAAAACAGGCACTTGACCTTCATATGAGTTACTCTTGTGAATGAGAGCCTCCAAAGACAGACAGCAGAGGCAGCACTTCATCTCCAGCATGATGCCAGACCACAGCCCTCAAGCTGTAGCTCACAGCCCAGGGCATGTGGCTGCAGGTGACGCAGATGAGCAGCCAGACTGGCTCCAGCATCTCTCCTGCCCAAAATCAATCTACCAAGTGTCTTCCCAGCACACAAGAAATCCTCAGTCACACAGTGCTCTCTACACCAAACTCTGCCTTCCCATGGTGCTGAAAATTTGCAACAGGGCAGGAGAAACAGAGAACACAAACTGCATAAAGAGTTTTAATTTTTTTAAACTTTTTTTTATTAACCAGGCTCCCAGAGGCAGTCATACTGCACGTACATGTTACTGAGTGAATAAAACTCAATAAACAAATATCAATCGGCATTTCCCTTCTTCCATTTCCTTCAGAGGGACTATACAATCCTGGCCCTGTTGAAGCTGTGGGACTTTCTCAGTAACTTGAAGAGGATCCAGTATATCACCCCAACTCTTTAAACCTTCTAAAAATAACCAGGCAGAGGGAACAATAATTTGTAAGCCTCCTTCCCATCAGTACATTTTCTGTCTGTAATATTTACAAAAAGCATAAACCCAGTTATAACAGAAAAATAATCCTTATTATTTACTCTCCTGCTTTTCATGTTTTTTATCTCAGTCTATGCCCAGCCAATCCTCCCTAAATGCTGCACAGACGTTTGATGCGCAAAGATGAAATTCCAAAGTTCTGTGGATGCTAACTCATGCTAACCAACAAATCTTCCTAAGGGCAAGGAATATTCAGAGGAATCAAATCCACAATTCTGGCCTCAGAACAGTACAGTCGCAATGACTTCTGAAAGCAGACACTACAAATACTGCTCTTTCATTATAAACATTTAACAGGAGAACAGAATCACACAACTGGTTTGGTTTGGAAGGGACCTTAAAGACCATCTTGTCCCAGCACCCTCCCATGGGCAGGGACACCTTCCACTAGCCCAGGTTGCTCCAAGCCTCATCCAAACCTATCCTTGAACGCTTTCAGGGATGGGGAAGCTACAGCTTCTCTGGGCAACCTGAGCCAGGGCCTCCCCACCCTCACAGGGAACAATTTCTTCCCAACAGCTAATCTAACCCTTATCTCTGTCAGTTTGAAACCAAGTAGGGAACCAAAAAACCCCAAAGAAACAACCAAACAGCACAGCCTCACAGACTTTTTAAACACATCTTAAAATAACCCAATACACTCTTTACAAAGCACTCTGCCACAATCCCAATGCCAAAGCTACTGAGTTTTAACACTACATCGCAAATTTGTTGACTGCATTCTTCCACTTGTGCCAAGAGGCAAGAGAAAAATCTGGTGGTGGTGTAGGAAACCATGTTGAGCCGGCTACTGCAGCTGCCCCTGATTTCAAAGGTTTCTCATTCCCAGGGCCAAGTGCTACCACTGCTTTTCCCTGATGGCTTCACTGCACAGAGCTCAGTTCACACCTTCACCTCAAGAATTCACAGCTTCCAACTTTAGCTTTATGGAGATGCAATAAAGACCTTCAGAAAAGAGAAATAAAAAGGACACAAGAATTCCACTAATGGTAAAGAAATTAAGTACTTTTTTTTTGGTCTCCCACCATGACAAAGAAGTGGGTACACTGGAAGCAGAAACAGCCCCCAGCCCCAGGAGCTCTCAATAGCAAGGCTGACCAAAGCATTAATATTTTATTACTTTATCTCTTTTTCTTCCAGAGCCTCTATGTGTAATTCCAAAGAATAATTTCTGGATATGAACAATTAAACAGTTAATCACCTCCGTCATCTAAGAGAACTGGAATATGAAACTGATATATATATATAAAATGTCACATGGATTTCTTTTTTCTGCTAGGGTCTATCCCCAGATTTTAAGTAGGATCACTGATCTGTAATAATCCAGGATTATGGCAAACAACAATGACTCATACACTGCTCTTTAGAGGGAAAATAACTAGTACAAAATCATCCCAAGGCCAAAGAATGACTATGCCTCTGAAGAGCAGTGGTACAGCCACTGTGGATTGCTTGGTTTCCTGCTTTCCTGTCTCTTGCAAAGGAAGCAAATGACTAAAAATAGTAACATATCATCAGAAATGATCACATCACATCAGTGAGAAACCAAACAGAGATAGATACGCACAGAGATGCAGGAATCTCATTATGTGACCTTATTTTGTGGTGGCTGACAGTGTGTGCAGTGGGAGCCCAGCAAAGGGAGTGCTAGGGTTCAGTCCAGACCCGAGTGGGGATGCAGGGCTGTGGGTGAAAGCTGTGTTGGGAGAAAACCCCTCACTTGAGGCAGCTGTGGTTTCCTTTTAGTGTGGGAAGCAGGGTGAGGGAGGGTATTCTTCCCTTGACTTCATTCAGGTGAGACCCCACCTGCAGTGATGCCTCGAGTTCAGGGGTCCTCACCACAAGGATGTAGAGCCGCTGGAGCGAGTCCAGAGGAGGCCACAGACACGCTCAGATAGCTTCCCACTGCCAGAGGGCAGGGTTAAATGGGATATTAGGAAGAAATTCTTCCCTGTGAAGGTGGGGAGGCCCTGGCACAGGTTGCTCAGATAAGCTGTGGTCGACTCATCCCTGGAAGTTTCCAAGGCCAGGCTGAGTGGGACTCGAAGCAACCTGGGCTAGTGGAAGGTGTCCTTGCCCATGGCAGGGAGTAGGACAAGATGGGCTTTAAGGTCTCTTCCAATCCAAACCATTCTGTCATTCTACGTTCAGCTTTTTATCCCTATAGGCATTTATTTAGCAAAGATGAAACAGAAGATTAAGAAATTTAGTTGTCTACTTTACATCAACATTAACTTGACTTTATTACATGAGAACACTCACGCAGTACAGACATATTGAGTTTTTCTCTTGGGAAAACAGAGAGTTTAAAAATATTTAAAGCTACTCTCCCTTACTGGTCTCAAGAGCTGAAATGGACCCTCAGAAAATAGAAAAATGGTCATTAGTCGTCCCTCCCACAATAAAAATATTCTTGCATTTCCATCATGCTGTACCTAACATGAATTTTAGAACATTTTGGCTCCTTGAGAGCAGTGTCATTTACAGGTAAAAAAGAGCTCCCTGCATTTCACCTGATTATCACTCATATTGCTCCTCAGTGCCTCGACGTGACAGACCCGTGGTCTGGGGATGCTCCAAGCAGGGCCACCCTTTCTCCTGGAAAGTGCTTATCTTCAGCAGACCCTGTTTCAAGTGATCGCAGTCATGGTACCTGTAGAGTGAACATCTGATCTCAGCTTTCCTAACTCCAAGAAGCCATGCTAACGTACCCCAAACATGCCTGTAAAGCTTCTATGTGCATTCACACGTTCACACTCATCTTGGCATCAGTGCCCAGTGTGAGGAACAATCACTGCAGAAATCAGCATTTAGGGCACATAGTGATGCTTGCCTTCAAGAAAGAAAGAATACAGAACATTAGGAAAGCAGCTTGCATAAATCAAAATGTCTTATTAAGAGTGGACCCAAATAAAGCCTATTTTCCCTGGGGATTTCTGCAGGTATCCCTAGCCCTTTCCTCATCCCAACTATACACCTAAATGCTCCCTGAGCAGACCTCAGAAAGGAACAGTGTGTGCATGCTGGACCCACCTGCTCCAGACCCAGGTGCCCACTGTCCTGCTGCCACCAATCACTTGCACACTGGCAACTCTGTCTATCCCTTCAACACGCAGGACCTTCATTTAACCTTTCTCTTTCACTATTCACCAGAAAGACACCCCAAAAAATTTAAGTAACCTTTTTATTTAACAAATACATCTGAAAGCAGCCACTAGTTTCCTGAGTTATTTGGGGCAGCTCCTAAGAGAGCAATCACAACAGCTTCATTTCCTTAAAAGATCAAGCTAAACCAAATAGCCAGTAAAAGTAAGTAATATCCTATGCACCAGTGCAAATACCAGGGCCACAAAAGTGATAAAGGGACTGGAGCATCTGGCACAGGAGGAGGAGCCAAGAGGGCTGGGGCTGCTCAAGAAGGTCCTGGGAGACCTGACCAGTGTGCTCAAGTACCTGCTGGGAGGAAGCGAGGATGAGGGGGCCAGACTCTTCTCTGGACAGGAGGGAATTAGCACAAGGGAAACCACACAGAATTCCATCTGAACACAAGGATGTACATTTTTCCTGTGACAGGTCAGACACTGGGACAGGTGGCCCAGAGATGCTGCAGAGTCTCCATCCATGGAGATGTTCAAACTCTAAGCAGGTCCTGGACAACCTGCTCCAAGTGCCCCTGACTGAGCAAGGGTGTGGGACTCAATCTCAGGAGATCAAAGACACACAAGAGGACTCTGTGATTCCACAGACCACCACACCGCACAAGCAATAATGACCCTATGTTCACACATATGTATTCTATGTTCATATGAAACAGATGGAAGAAAACAAAATCACCAAAAATCTGGTGCAATCCCGTCTCTTCAGTAGCTGGGAGATCGTGGAAAATTGCAAAATTCTGCACTAAGCCCCATAACGACAGCAACTGACACCACTGCCTCATACCAAGGAACTTCTATTCTAAATCCACTTGCCTGGATGTTTCTGCCACCCTATTTTAGGACAAGTGAAAAACATGGAGTCTCTACAACCTAACCATTTAGAAGGTAAAGCATTAATTTGCTTTTGGCAAAGATTGATTTAAAAGACAATATATGGAATTGTCTTAAGACAGTGATTTTGAAAAGGAAACATTCCTTTATGGCCTTAATGAAAAGGAAGTTGTTTCTCTGTGTATGGCACACGTGTGGGAACTAGATGATCTTTAAGGTCCCTTCCAACTCAAACTATTCCATGTTTCTATGATTCTACGATTAACCCTAATTTAACAAACCATACCTGTACAGTCTGTTTGTGCACAACTGCTGCATAAAGATGAACAGCAAGGTGCAATGGCTCTGCACAGTGGTAATCTGCCAATACAATGCACATTTTAATGCCAGAACAATGACCACCTGTGGTTTCAGTTACTTTGAATTTAATAAATTAATATAAAGTAACTATAACTCAGGGTTCTTTGACAGGATATTGCAAGATAACAGATCCACTTGTAATCTCCAACCTCTCAGTGTCAATTTAATTCTAGTAACTGGCACTCTATACACAGAGAGGAATCAAGACTGAGGTCAAATCCTGTTTCCAGGGGAGGATCTTCCCAGTTAGAAGTGAAGATCTCACCCAAGACCTGAGGCACAGCCCAGGAAACTGATGGTGTTGGAGAGGTGGGAAGGACAGTCCCATGTCACTATGGCACTGTTTCAGAGCAGCAATGTACATTCTGGGAAGAAAAATTTTCTGGTTTTTGATTGTGTACAATTACTTGGTAGCCAGCAGAATTCCTTGTCATATACAGACATTCACCCCCACAACATGCAATTTACTGCAGAGTAAGCAGTGCACGGGAAACAGGCACAGATAAACAATGTACTTTGTTATATACTGAGGGAAACAGCAGCCGTGTATTACACGTATGGCCTTGTAATAAGAGGCTTGTAGAGGCAGAATGATCATTTATTCTCATAAGAAACACATTATCTATTCCTTTTTGATAACAAGTCTCCTTGCAGACACTTCTCCCACTTACTGTGTGTAAGGATGACAAACTATTTTCTTCATCATCATCACTGGTACTTTTTAAATCTCACTTTCTAAAAATATCATTGGCAAATGGTATTCTGCCACGGTTCCGAAATTTCCTTGCAGGGAGTGTAACTGCAATCAGTACATTTGCTTCCAGAAAACACATCCTGTACCTAGTAAGCCCAGAAGAGAAATCCACCCCAATCCAAAGATGCGAGATGATTCCAACTGGACTGTTCCAACCCCCATTGGCAATTCCACGTTTTTCCCATAAATAGTGTACTTTAAAAATTATTTCACAGAAGCTGCAAAATGCTGTCTCTACACAACATAATTAAACATCATGTACTGAGACTAATTTTTCGACTCCTACAAGAATTCAAAATAATTTTAGGATCATTTATTAGTCCATTAATACATTAATAATTAGAACTTAGGACTAAAACTTTTAACTGACTGCTTTCAGTATCAGTAATGGATCACAAGTGTCCTCCCCACTGAGTTACCAAGCTTCTCACCCATGATTATTAAGCAACATGAAGATGTCTATGAAAATCTCGCATCTGCTTTACACCATTCTCCAGTACAACAACTATTTCATTACTACCATTGCTTTTATTTTATTGATTACCCCATATCAAATCAGAACTTGACTCTGAGAAAAGCAACTGAATCTTAAATCTGCTCTTCCTTAAAGACAGAAAAACCCGACTTTTGAAGAAGTTTAAAGGAGATGATGTGGGGGGGATGATGTGGTGAGGATGGACTGTTTTCAGCACCAAAGCTCCATCCCAGCTCACAGACTGTCATTCCAAGAGGCTGAACAGCAATCCCTATGGGTCCCAGCCTTCAAGACTGAAAGGATGCTCTGTGCTTCAGTAGGGACAGGTGCAGATGCAGCAAGATGACAGAGTGCAGATCACCTCCCCCCTGTCTTGTCTACATCCGGGTCCCTGTAACCGGAGCATTCTTCTTCCTCTCCATCAGAGGGGTTGGATTTCTCATGAGCCACTTCCAAACAACCCCACCAGCTGGGCAACCCTGCCCCCGCTCTCCCGAGAGCACATCCATACGCTCCAGGAAATGGCAGGTGCTGACTTGGGAACGACTTTATCAAAACTCAAGGCATAGTTTTGAGACAAATAAGTTTCAAAAATAAAACGTTATACTCTAAAGGCAATTCCTTCCTCCAACGAAACAGCTTACAGCTGACATTGAGAATGCTGGATGACTGCACAAATTACCCATTTTAAAAACTATTTTTTACACCACAAATTATGCTGACCCCTCCGGATGCTGTTGGCATTGCAAAACTGAATTCCTAATTTCTCAGGAATTCCACAGGATTGCAGCTATCGTGGTTCCGCTTTTTTCCCTCCCGACACCACGGGGTAGCTCAGCCGCAGTGGCCCAGGGCCCGCGGTGCGGCGGAGGAGCCGGGCCGGACCGGACCTGCCGGGGCCGGAGAAGTCCAGGGGGCAGGAGCCCCGCGCCCCCGCGGGAAGGGATGCGCCTCGCCCCACCCGGGCCCGCCCCCGCACTCCGCTTCTAGAAGGTACCGGCGGTCGGTACCCCGGGGCGCCCACACCGCCTTCCCTCGAACCGGGCCCACCGCGGGGGCTCGGGTAGCAGGGACCCGTCAGTGGTGGCGATCGGGACGATGGAGCGAAGGTCTGTGAGAGGTGGCCGAGGCAGCATCCCTGAGCCGCACTGGCCACCCCCTCGGCCCTGCCGGTGCCCTGCACTGGGGCCCCCGCCCGGCCGTGGCCAAAACAGTCGCGGGGCGGCGGCACTCACCTCCTCGGCCTGCTTGCGCAGCGCCTTCTCCCGCTCGTACTGCGTGAGCAGCTGCTCGTTGTCCTCCCGCAGCAGCTCCAGCTCCACCTCGTGCTCCTGGTTGTCGGTGAGCACCGAGTCCAGGTTCTCCAGCACCGTCACCACCAGTGGCATCAGCTCCTTCACCACCTCCTCATCGTAGCAGTGGATCAGTCGCTCGAACTCGCGGTAAATGCTGTTGGCAAGGCCCGAGACCCGCTCCGACATCACCGAGCCCGAGCAATAATCATCGCCCGGGTACCCCCCCACGCCGCCATCGTCTAGCTGGATCTCCAGCATCCTGCCGGCCGAAAGCTCTCGACCGCGCTCTGCTCGCCTCCGCTTCGGGCCTCCGCCTCGGACCTCCGCTGACGCGGCCGCCGGGTGCTGCCCCGCCCCGCCCCGCCCGCGGCGTCACGGTCCGCGGGCACCGGTAGGGGCGGAGCGCGGCGGCACCGCCTAGAGCCGCTAGATCGGGGGTGAGGGCTGCTCGTGCGGAGAGCAGGTGCGGCGCCGCAATGTTTCTGGCACTGGAGGCAGGAGCGGCAGCTGTGACGGCGAGCCGCCCGCGCAGCACACCACGCCGGGAGCGAGCCCGCCCGCGGCTGGCCCCGAGCCCCGCGGCAGACAAAGCTCCGCGCACCGGGGCTCCACGCAAGGCGCGATGGGCGCGCTCCAGGCCCCGCGCTGCGGCGTCACGCGCAGGGACACCGAGCAGGAGCCAGCGCATGCCCAGGTCGCGCCGCATCTCGGCCGCGCACTGGCTCTGGGAGGCGCGTTAGAGACCGTCACAGCCGCGGTAGTTTTCTTTCCAAGATCAGGCAGCCGTAGTTAATAAAGAGAAAGCAGACAAGAACCTGTTCAGTCAGGGATGAACTGAAAGCCTGAGGGCCAAATTGGCCGCCTCGAGTCTTCAAAGAGAATTCAGCACAACCACCGAATTTGATCAGTAGACTTCCCAAAGAAACAGCAGCACACACCAAATTACAGGCAGAAGCTCCAGCAAATTACAGGTGGTAGCCTCCAACACCCTCAGCAGGTGTCACAGAAGTCAGAGTCTGCCACATCCTGGGCTCAGCTGAGTTTGGGCTGTAGAGCTGGAAGAAACCAGCAGGAATCATTCTTCTCTGTACTGAGAACAGGCTGGCAGGAGAGAGAAATAAGGGGTCGATTTGAGAAAAGGCTCCCCACACCTTCATTTTGCTTAGAGCTCTGAAGAGCGTAATTCCAAGGTGATGAATACCAATGACCCTAAAATCTTCATATTGCACAAAGGAAAAGAACTTTAACCCTACCCAGAAAGCCTGATTGCAATGGGAATATCACATCTCACTGGTAATTAAGAATTTAAAGTTTTATGGCTGTTTTGTTCTATGTTACATCATTAGCAGCTTTTAGACAGCTACTTTTATAGCAAAAACCTATTTGTATCTTTAAAAAGGAATGGAATGGAACAGAAGAGAATAATACTGTATGAAATAGGTGTAGCTCACTTGGAAGGGTCCTACAATAATTGAGGCTAAGGTGTAATTAGATATGCGGTGGATCACCAGTAGATTGTGAGGCATCTGAATGTAACAACCAGATTTTCAAATGTTTCCACACAGAGCAGACCCAGCCAAGTGCATCAAAGCCACTGAGTGCATAGACACAAGAAACAAATGTGAATAAACTCCTGCTCAAAAATTTAAAACCCTATAAGTCATCCATGTTGGGCCTTGATTCATTCTGTCTTGTATGGGAAACTTTATAGATCAAGAGTTGTACTGTTATTCACAACAAACATAAGAGTGTGCTTTATTAAATGCAAGATTCCATTTAACATATTATGAATAAAAATGTACAGGTGAACAGAGAAGCAAGGCAGGCAAAGAGAGAGGTAAGATTTATTCACTAATTCCATATTTCACTGAACTTCTAATCTCCTGTAATCTAGAGAGCATGTAAAACATTTATAAAGTTTTCTTGCATTTTGTCCACATACATAAGAAACTGAAACAATGGGCATGACACAAACTAAAGCCTGTTGAACCACAGAGACTGATGAGCTCATGGCATTACCCACTCTTCTGAAATGCATCCTCCTTTCTACAACTGGTTCAGGTCCAGTGACATTGTTAAAGCTCCTGCTGAAAGACAGTGATTGCCTAAGTTAAATTGTACATTAAAAGATACATTGCTATATTTATAGATTCATAAATAATTTCAAGTCTAGAGATCAGTCAAGAAATGGCAGGAATGCTAGGTGCTGCCATGCATGAGAAAAAATTAAAATACCACTTCCAGATCAAAGTTGGCAAACAAAATATTTGCTTATTCTATCCTTTTGGGGTTTTATTGCATCTAGCATAGGAGTTTATCTAGGATTCAAGTTGTTATTTGCTTAGCACTAAAAGCAAACTAAAAACTGACTGTGCTGTACATATGCCATTGTGTTATGGCTGCAAGGGCGCTTTGCTGAAGAGCTTGCCTTTCCAAGCAGGAAAAGTAAAGGCACAAGGAGTGAGAAATGGATAGAAACACTGAGAATATGCAAGGGAAATCAGGATTCTTTTGTAATAACCATATGATCTCCAATTAACTATTGGGGGTTTTTTTCCCTTAGACAGGTGGAACTTTTCTTTGTGAAAGAATAAGTATTTTTAGGTGTCTTGGTGTGGATATTCTCAGTTCAGTTGAAGAAAGAACAGATAACTTCTCCCAGGCTGAGCCTGGGAATCTTAGAGGAAAAAATTCTCTCTCTTTCTGTAACCATTGTTTATAGATATGGTTCTCCAGAGTGGGCTATTCATGGTTCATCAATAATGTGAGAAGTTTCTGAAATCAATCAAGTATCACCTTAGTGAGTCACATTATAAAAATGAAATAAAAAGAGCAGCAGATCTTTCTCCTTTTTAATGCTTTTATTTAAAAAAATTCAGTTCAGGCTGGGGAGAAACGACAGGTCGCCTGCACCCCCGCTGCTCCTAGGAGTGGCACGGAGGAGGAGGAGGATGCAGCTGTGCCCGCTGGTATGCAGGCAGAGCTAGGGCTTCCGTCCTCGAGGGAGTAGTGGGAATTCCGCTTTTTCGGTCTAACATTCCAGGCCCTCTTTCTAGTTGACATCCTTTGAGGTCAGGGTGAGAAGTAAAAATTATCTTAGCAGATACTGGATTAAGTTCCTCACCTTTAGACATTACTTACGTCTCTTAATTCTATGTTATTTTTAGGGTTTTTTTCCTGGAAAATTGCAAAATTTGCTGAGATGCATTCTCATCTGCATACCAGTTCTGATTGATGTCACATGCACACCTCCCCCCCGCCCACCCTGTACCTGCAGGCTCCCGTGAAGCAGCAGGGGGATAATAGCGCTTGATTTCTAACCATTAACAGGTAATTGAAGAAAAACTATTAAAAATAGGTGATTGCAACATGAAGCTATCCACAACAAATAGTCAAAACTTCAACTCAACAGCAACTAGCCCAACCTGTTTAAATTTGCAGCCTTAAAAAACATGGATAACTTTTTTACTCATAACATAAAGACATGCTACTTTCATTAAAGGATTTTGCCTTCTGATCCACCTGAAGACTGGAGTCTTCTTTCCATCCCTGACTCAGCAGCATCATCTTGGTTTGAAAGACAGGTGTCTGCCAAGGAAGGTGAGAACCTCCCTTGGAATAGAAAATGTGACTCCCTTCCCTCCAAATTGTTATAATTCTGAAATTGTGGGGCTTTCAGGAAAATACATGATAAAAGGAAGAACAGTCCTTTACTAGTAGATATATATATATGTATAGCAAGGCAAATAAACATCAACAATGGCAGCAACAACAAACAAAAAACCAGAAATCCAACCACAGCCTTGTCTCAGCTTCAGGCACCTTCCCCTTCGGGGCCCCTTCTGGTCACAGCCAGCAGGGGCGCTGTGGTTCCCCGCGGCTGCAGGGGGCGCTGTGGCACGAGCTCAGCCGCCCCTCCCCGCGGTGATGGCAGCTCAGCTGGCAGGGCAGGGAGAAAAGGGGCTTTATTTACAAACCTACAGGGGCAGCCAGCCCCAGTGCCCCTCCAGGTGGAGAAGTGGGCTGTAGCAGGAATCTTGGAGCACTGGCTAGAACTGGGCCCCCAGGGTGACAAACAAAATGTAGTCAAAAACTTCAGCCTTAGCAGGAGCTGCAAGCGTTGGGTGGACGCGGTGTGTTGGGTTAGGGTATAGCAAGAAAGCCCAAGGCAGCGGCAGAAAGCCAGGAGCTGGGCAGCAGCAGCTGGGCTTCTCTATAGCAGCTGCCCACACACTCAGGAGACACACCCTCGGGAAGGAGGGAAGGGTTTGGGGTCCTGAGTTTTCCCTGGTGGCACCCAAGTAGATGGTGATGATCCTTTCCAGTCAGATTAGGTATTAGTTGTTATGAATAAAAAGTTATCTATTTTTTTTTAAGGTTGCAGAGTTAAAACAAATTGGACCAGTGCTGTTAAGTTAGCTTCATTGTTAAGAGTTCTTCTTCAATTACCTGTTAATGGTTGGTGATTAACCATTGTCCCCTTGATGCTTGTCAGAGATCCTGCCGTACCAGGAGAATGGGAGTGGCATCAGAGCTAGTATGCAGATGAGAAACGCATTGCACTAATTTTTGCAGTTTTCCAGGAAAACCCCTAAAAATAATGAGCCAACATATAACTAGGGGACCTAAGTGATGTCTAAGGATGGGAGCGTAGTCCAGTGCCTGCTTGGATCCTTTTTGCTTCTCACCCTAACCTGAAGAGATGTTAACTAGAGAGACAACCCGAGATGTTGGACCAAAAAGGCGGAATCTCCTAATCTCTCCTCAGGACGGAATCCCCAGCTCTGCCTGCAGACCAGCGGACAAAGCTGCATCATCCTCCTCCTCCGTGCCACTCCTGGGAGCAATGGCGGCGTGGGCACGACCCGTCGATTTCTCCCCACCTGAGCTGATTCTTTTTAATAAAGTCATTAAAAAGGAGAAAGATCTGCCCATTTTATTTCACTGAACCTGTGGGAGGGATGGTCTCTAAGCTAGCTACATCACAAGGATGATCTACAGCAAGTGGAGCAGCAATGCCAGGGAAGGGGATTTATTAATTACATGAAAGAGAGCTCTCCCAGCAGCAAGACATTACAGGACAAAAAGAACAGCTCATCCCTCAGACACTGAAGTGCACAAACACACACCGGCAGGGGGTTTCCTGCCACTGTGAACACTTCTCCTTCCTGCTATTTCTTCCATGCTTTAGGATTTTCCTCCCTTTCTGCCTCGATGTCAGCAGCACATATCACTGACAAGCCTCTGACAGCAGCAGCAGCGAAGAGAGATCTGGCAGCAGAGTATCCCCTGGGGACCCTGCGAGGAGACATGGGCTGGTCAGTGAGAATAACACACAGCCATTAGAAGGAGATGGCAAAGTATGTTGAACTACTACATAATAATCCTCCTGCTGCCTCTGTTTTCAGAGGGAACACATATTTTATTGCAAAATTAAGTATAACACCTGAAAAAATAAAATCCCCCTCCTGTCTGAAAATGTTATCTATACTACAACTGTACTTTAACCTGACTATTCATGACTGAAGAGAATTTTTCTTTTCACAAAGGTTTAATACATGTCACAAACCAAATCTTGCTGTTTTCTCTCACATAAAGCAATCACTTGGGAACAGAATGCAAGTAATGATATATGCTTCAATAAGTTAAATGTTA